AACAACAACGTAGTAATCATTATACTAGGCTTTTGTTTAAAGTTTATTTACAATCCTATGCGACCATTCATGTGAGGGCCATGTAAGAGGCGCTTCCTTCGATCTATAAATTATAGTCCGCGACTGTAAATTGCGCGGTCTCGAGATTCTCAAACGCTCTATAATACTCTAGTCATTTTCAGCAATCACGAGAATTATCGGCTAGGTCCGACCGTGAGAGCGTCTCTCAACTTAAGGTATGTATGGTCTAGGAATCATCACGGTAATAGAGAAAGTTCCTCCCAATATTAGGCATCGATTCACGAATACAGACAACAGTTTCACACACGCCCACACACATACATGTTTTCCATTCTGATAGACTTCGACAATAGCATTAACAATCAAAAAATATTCACTTCGACGAATCGCGCGATGCATCACCCGTTTCACATCAGCCACGACATGATATACGTTTTGTATAAGTATAATATATATTTAATACTTGACTAGATCACTTTAGTTGTATTGACTCCCTCGTTAATCTAGGTACTCGGAGACTATGGAGACATAAAATGTCTGCTTATAAAAAAATACTTGGCTGAATGAATTAGAAACGTTAATGTAGTTACTTATTTTCTTTCTTTCTCACAATATGCGACATTTGTAAATACGAGAACGACATCTAATGAAATTTGATCCCAATTTCAAGTATAATTAACGACAGTAGTAAATTGTTTGAAAATAGTCTTCCCCTTTCGCAACGTATTTCTCGCTACGGAGAAAATTTGCGGAGAAACTTGGCTGGCACTCATCACACGTAGAATTCAGCCAGCATCTTAGCCGGTTCGTAGTCCATATCCTCATTCTTGTACATATCCATGATCTGGAAAAGTCGTTTGTATGACTAAACCAATTATTTTGAGGAAAGTGGACTTGATATTTTAAATAAATTAATTTAAATGGAGTAAACTTATGGTCAGATAAATTACATGTTTGTGTCAATTATTTAATTTTTTATATTAACTAAAAAAACTTTAATTTTTTATAATTTAATAAATTAGAATTTTATGAAAGAAATATAAATTCATACATTAACAGACTCATAACAGATTACATTAAATAAAATTAAATATATTGACAAAAATATATGTATTAAAAAATTTTTTTAAATAATTATTAATGTAAAAATATTATTAAAGAATTTCTTATTATTTAATTTTAATTATTTCTATTTGAATAGATCTGTTCCAAACAACAGATTTCAAACTGAATAAAAGTTTGTAGTATCTTTTATACATGTAAAAGCTTTTTGTATTATTATTTTTTTATATTTTATAATAGATTTCACAATATATATGATAAAAATTGTTATAGTCACTTACAGTAAAAAAAAATTAATCGTGTCTTAATTAAAGTTTTCTTAAAAATTAAGCAATTTTGAAAAAAACTTTGTATATGATTAACTTTGTAAATGATTTTGGCTAGTATGGCATTGAAAAATTTAATTTCTAAAAGATAAAAATTTAGTACTAAAAGATAATTTAATGTGAGAATAATTATATTAACGAACAATCTTGAAAAAGTTATCCATTATTAAAATTAAAAAAATATTAGTGTATTAAGTATATATTTTATTAATAGTAGTATATATTTTTAATACATTTTTTCTAAAAGCTTTTACACATAAATAAAAATAATAATAAATAAAGAAGTATGTACAAATAAAAAATTCATAACAAAAATTTACAATTTCAGATAATCCACATTTTTGATACTTCGAATCTGTTACAGTCCTACTTATTTTTCGGATTAAAAAAACTCTATTCAAATAAATTATCT